GAGATTAGATTTGTAACTGACAAGCAGTTGTTCTTAGATTTTTTTGTAGTGATTACTTACCAAGGAAATTAGATATAGTTGTAAAAATAACATTTTTCAGCAAATTTAAAAATTCTTTAAAAATTCCAATTTTGATTGAAATGAGCTCAATATGCATCTAAAAAATTTACAAATATGGAGAAGCTATTTTTTTACAAAATATGGATCAGGTTCTTTTTACAAAAAGCTCTACTGAGCAACTAAACAGTACACATGATGAGCTTATACAAGAAAACCCTGATCATCACACTTTGTACATATGATCATGTAATGTGAAGTGGCTACTGAGGTAGACTGAGAGCATTTCTCAATGTCTGTATTGAGTTCGTAGTCAGTACGCTATGACAAGCCAATTTTAATACAAATTCCAATTACATTCTGTTCAAATTTAAACCTCAATTGCAATTACAATTAAGTAATCGTAATCCTAATTGACCCTCTAATTATAATTATAATTGTAACTGACTCCAGGTCTGCAATGTATATTCATTTGTCTTCACCCCCTCCCTTCCCTCTCTCTTTTTCTCCTCATTTTTCTCTCTCTCTACTCTCCACTCACCAGCTGCTTCAATTCATCACTATACTTTCCTTTAATGGGATCAAATGAACCCTAGAAAGTATAAACATGCATGTCATACTAGCATACAATAACACATTACACCACATATAAACATCCACATGTACAGATTGAATGTATGTACCTCGACTATTTTATGGACAAGTGCTGGTAGGTTAGTTCCATCAAACGGACGAGAGAGACACATCATTTCATGTAATATGCAACCCAACGACCAAATATCACTCTTAGAATTATACTGTTTCCCTTCACACTACAATACAATTAAAAAATAACAATAATAGTAATGTACATAAACATAGAAGAGATTCTTTAGTTGCTATAACTTAAAGGGAAGATTAAGTAAGTTAGCCTAATTGTACATGTAGCTAGAAGTATATACCACAAAATTTATGGCCCACAAAATACATATTAAGTATACACTTTTTTTATTCACAATTCTCCATTCTGTACACTACACACCTGTATGTACTATCTACTATGAGTTTATTAAACTTACAATTTCAGGTGATATGTAGTAAGGAGTGCCAACTATAGAATCAGCTGCTTGATGAGTTCCTGATAAAACTTTTGAAATGCCAAAGTCTCCCAATTTCACAATACCGTGTCTCGTGAGAAATATATTTGCAGTCTTTAAATCCCTACATTAAAAAACAATAGTAAGTATCATTCTCTGTCTTTCCTGTGTTTCCCAATTAATACTATCTTTCCTCATATTGCATTGCATGTACAATAACTGGAATTTTTTAAAAATCAACTTTTACTGTTGTTCATATAGTCACATTCATTTTCAGGGTTATTCATAATTGTTTCCAAATAAGGTTGTTAACAATGTTCAAAAAACAACTTTAAGTACATAAACAAGAAACAGCTAAATCCTTAGCTAGTCTACTGTACACAAATATGTCCTTCTATCGCTTCTTGCTACTTCTCTCTCTTTTGATTCAATGTGGCATCAGTCAGGATGTAATTAATATGACTGAAGAGAATGAGCTGGAGCAGTTCTTATGCTATAATGATCCACCAGTAGTGGGGAACACTACTGTAGTGCTGTCTACCAACATCACTCATTACATTAGTGGTAAAGTCTCATTCTGTATGATCAATACTACCTACTCATTGACAATAACTAGTGATTTATCTAGATCAGCTCTCATTAACTGCAATACCCACTTACACATTAAGTTTACCACTGGATTTTCCTTTGTTAACGTACCCAACCTGACTCTGCAAAGGTTAGTATTTAGAGGTTGTGGTGGGTTTTTAAAGAACAGTACAATCATTGATGTCACTAATTCTCTAGTTTCTCCATTTTTTTTCACTCGATATCAATCAGCTGTGTTACTATTTCCACGTATTAATATTCTATTACTTGAAAAGGTTACCATTACATCCTATTATGGCTTTGCTATACTAGCCATGAACCCAGTGAATGCAACAATGAATAGTTTAACTATTAGTGTTTCAAAAAAAATTTTTAACCGCAATATAACTGATGATACATACATTGGTAGTGGTGCTCTGATAATTTTTGCTCAAGATCATAATATTATTGACACACATACAGTAATTAACAATTCACTTATAACTAATAATATTGAAGACTTAAGAAGTGCAGAATATCTTGAATACCCTCCTTACGTACACAACTATTATCCAATTTTAAGTGCAGCTGGTGTGACTGTTCTTTATACTCAAACAAACTATCCAGCTATTGTTTCTGTCCTCAAAACTAACTTCACCCAAAACAATGGTGCCTTACTTTTTCTCTTTCATTATAACACCAGTCATGGTAGAACAGTATTTGATGAGGTTAGCTTTGTATCCAACGTAGCAAAAGAAAAATCGAATTTGATATTACTTATAATGATTGATGTTCCAAAAGCCAGCTATCCATTAGATCTCAACCGCAGTGTATTTAATAACAATGTCTTGACTTCAACTGAATCAAATCCTTCAAGTGTAGTTTTTATCAGTTTACATAATCCTTCTTTTAAAATTTCAGTCAATATCTATTTTAGTAATTCAATTTTTACCAAGACCAATGCTACAAGAGTGGGCTTGTGTATTTATGCTATTGATACAGGAACTCAAGATGGTAGAAATAAAGTTTTAAACATCTACATTAATAACATAACTGCCCACAATAATTTCATGACTAATTATTATGGCAACACAAAGACTGAGTTTATGAAGATAGAGAACGCCCA